CACGATTCAAACTGTATATATAAAGTAATTATGTGTGAAGTTTTATGTATCATATTTTCTAATTCAATTATTCGTAAGCAAATACATTATACAGTTGCCTTAAACTTAACACCTCTCTTGCCAAGTGGTACTACCCGTAGAGGTTTTTTAAACATTGCAATGCATCGTAATGGTTATTTTTAGAATGGCAAACTGATGCAGCTGTTAATACGTGTTGTAAACGTAGACACTACTAGACTAGTGCAATAATGCTTAGTTGCTGCATGAAAAGAAATCTTGTGATTTACATAGATGTGCCGACCAAAAATATGTTTTTAACAAATATCATTGTTTAAAACTTTGAGTTTAAAAAGTTTCCAAAAAGGCGCCACTTTGCTGAAAATGGCCATAGGGGGAGCGGCCGCTCCCCCTGCTCCCCCCCTGCGTACGCTACTGCTCAAGTTATAGGCTTTTAAAAAATTCAAAGTAGAAAAAGTACCACTTCCGGTTAACGTAAATCGATCAAAAGTTGATCAGGATCTACGATTTTGATAAAATACGTATATATGAAATTTCATCAATCTAGCTGTAACGGATCTTAAGTTATGGTGTTTACACACAGACACACACACATACACAAACAACAGACCGAATTGCAAAGTCCAGTTTTTACGACTCGATAACGCTTAAGTGGCAAAAATGTTTATATAAGTCCTCTATACTCCGGATATGATGAAGGACTGAGGAGTAAAACGGTGAAAACTGTCAAAATTTCATGTTAGTTTTGTGCACGATTACAATACTTTCTCTATACTTCGTATATACGAGAAAGTAAAAAGTGATCAGAAATAATCCCATTGATTATAAACAGTTGAGTAGGTGGGATAATATTTCGCTCGTGTAGTCTAAGACTCCGTGAGGTTCATTGCGATGTTGTCCTCAAATATTCACAATGTAGACCCATAGAGGTTGTGGTTACGGGTACGATTATGCTAGGTAAGGTTCGCTAAAGTCAGGCAGGTCAGGTCAAGCCGAATCAGGTGAGGTCGTGTCGTGTCGGGTATGATTAGGTCAGGCCAGTTTAAGTTTTAACATTACGTTTAACGAAACCAATTTACTCAAGGAAACACTTACTGCTGTCATTGTAGCATAGGATAACTGATCCTGCAATAACATTTTGAGTAACATTTATAACATCGCCAACAAAGAGCTTGATGGTACACACGCCATCGGCAAACTTGAAACCGTAGCAAATTTCTGCCCTACAAGCTGAGTAGCATTCCTGTGGCAAAAAACGTTGTACTCGAATTAAATGTTCTATTTGGACAAAGACATAGACACAATCATACAAAGACTCAGACGAAGACGCAGCTACAGCTACAGCTACAGCTACAGCTAAGTATGTAGATGTAGATGTAAATGTAGATGTAGATGTAGATGTAGATGTAGATGTAGATGTAGATGTAGATGTAGATGTAGATGTAGATGTAGATGTAGATGTAGATGTAGATGTAGATGTAGATGTAGATGTAGATGTAGATGTAGATGTAGATGTAGATGTAGATGTAGATGTAGATGTAGATGTAGATGTAGATGTAGATGTAGATGTAGATGTAGATGTAGATGTAGATGTAGATGTAGATGTAGATGTAGATGTAGATGTAGATGTAGATGTAGATGTAGATGTAGATGTAGATGTAGATGTAGATGTAGATGTAGATGTAGATGTAGATGTAGATGTAGATGTAGATGTAGATGTAGATGTAGATGTAGATGTAGATGTAGATGTAGATGTAGATGTAGATGTAGATGTAGATGTAGATGTAGATGTAGATGTAGATGTAGATGTAGATGTAGATGTAGATGTAGATGTAGATGTAGATGTAGATGTAGATGTAGATGTAGATGTAGATGTAGATGTAGATGTAGATGTAGATGTAGATGTAGATGTAGATGTAGATGTAGATGTAGATGTAGATGTAGATGTAGATGTAGATGTAGATGTAGATGTAGATGTAGATGTAGATGTAGATGTAGATGTAGATGTAGATGTAGATGTAGATGTAGATGTAGATGTAGATGTAGATGTAGATGTAGATGTAGATGTAGATGTAGATGTAGATGTAGATGTAGATGTAGATGTAGATGTAGATGTAGATGTAGATGTAGATGTAGATGTAGATGTAGATGTAGATGTAGATGTAGATGTAGATGTAGATGTAGATGTAGATGTAGATGTAGATGTAGATGTAGATGTAGATGTAATTTGGGTTGAAAAATAAAAATCCTTAGGCGGAAATATGGGATATTGGTTTGTGTTGTGCAGTGCTGTCGGCAGACCATATCCGAACGGACAACCAGATCGTTTAGCATAATTTACAGGAATAATTCAGATACCAATGGATATGTTTCATGAATAAAATTATGATGTTAGTAAGTGCGGTAGTATAAATATATGTATGAGGTTTTAGATATATTTACCAAGGGCGATGAAGCGTTTCGGGTTTCTGTTAATGGAGTTGATAACGGAATACAGAGTGCTTTGAAAAAATTGACAAGATAATGTGTTATCAAATTATTAAAGACGTGTATTAATAGAAAATATTATTTTTATACGAAATTTTGTTTTATTTAATGTAACTGTATATATATATATATATATATATATATATATATATATATATATATATATATATATATATATATATATATAAATATATATGTGTGTGTATGTGTGTGTTTGTGTGTGTATGTGTAGCTGTGTGTGTGTATACATATTCAGATGGTGTGGAAATTAGAGCTGATTTTTAAAATGTGATTTTTATACCGCATTCTTTATTTTGGTGCCTGTACAATTTGCTATTAAAATATAATTTTCTCTTAGAAGCGATTTATACGATATCAGGAAATTCAAAACTCTGATAAATACTAATCTTACGTCAAATGCAGTAATGTTTTTGTTTACTTTATAATTATTACATCTTTACCCGAGATCGATATATGTTATCATTTTGTCCAGATTTAAAAGTAAGCAATGTTGTGTAGCATTCTATTAATGACCTACAATAACACTTTGTTGGGTCCGTGCTGTTTACGGCAAATCCAGGTCTACATGAACAGGTAAAGCTTCCGTCTGTGTTGGTGCAATTCTGTTGACATGGGCTTGGCTGAGCACTGCATTCGTCGATGTCTAGAAGTTTTGTTTGCAAGCAAAATGTATCAATGAGCTGAGTTAACTACGCATTTCAAAAAGATTTTTTTTTTCTAATGAAGAAATATTAATGTGTTAAATTTTGAGACTTACCATCACACTGTGTGTGGTCTGTGCTACTTATGACATATCCTGCATTACATGAGCAGGTGTAGCTTCCAATGGTGTTGGTACAGACTTGTTCACATGGACTTGACTGAGAATTGCATTCATCGATGTCTGAAATAGTTTGAACAATAGAAAGCAAGAATAGACATCAAATAGTAAATGCTATAAACTTATGTATGCTGTACCTGATTCTATCAGCCGGTCAATCACAATTTTCGAATAGTATACCTAGTAGACGCTTTTAACATATAAAATATTGAGTTTTAGTAAGGCTACACAAGAACTATCGCGATTATTCAGTTACATACAACATCGAAATACGTATAAAAAATATTTCATTTTAAAATTTTAAGTATGTATGTAAAATCGAAGAAAGTTGTTAGACATATTCTGATTGATATAAAGCTTTTTGAGACATAGATTCATTAAAGAGATCGGTTTTTTTTTGTCAATCCAATAAAGAATTATGTTTAATTTTAATACTTATTTTCATTCTGATATTTACAATTGGTTGATCTAATTACTTATTTAGTAGTGTGTTTTTGTAACCACTATAAATTACGAAAATAATTTTTAAGCGTTTATTGCAGTGTTTGATTGCTTTATTGAGGATTATTATATAGCTCAATTTAAAGTTGTTTTTTTAAATAACGATGTTCATAAATAGGATTTATTAATTTTTTTAAACATATTGATTCATTTATCGATTTTACAATATCGACATTCTTACCTAGACATTTAGCAGGATTAGCTGGGTTGACGATATAGCCTGGGTTGCAGGAACACACATTTTGTCCATTGACCACCGTGGTAATTTGCTGGCAGCGACACTTGGCTAAAACAAAGTAGCATTCGTTGTTAGTGTCTGTATAATATGTCTCGATACAATGGGTTTATACTACTAATTAAATAACCTAGATTAAAATTATTTTTTTTATAAAAATGTGGATACTTTTGGAAAATTGATTTAAATTGTTTTAAAAACACCCCTCTTTTTCCGAATGCATCCCGTTAAGGAAAACAAATACAACACAGGTTTTATATTAAGCAATGGAACTTGAACTTATCATTAACTCCCCAAGAAAGGGAATATATATCCATAAGTGAGGTCCTAATCTATTGATGTTTAATGGTACCAGCATATAGCTTTATCAAGATTACAAGAGCTAAATTTTTTCCCCTTTTTTATGCATTTAAAAAAAATACTTTCTCGTATAAGTAGTATACAGAAAGATTTGAAAACATAGTTTTGCAATTTCGTCCGTGTTTCTGTGTGTGTTTGTATGTGTGTATGCGTGTTTGTGTGATATCTGTGAACAGGATAACTTGAGTAACGTTACAGCTAGGTTAATGACATTTCAAATATAATTATTATATCAAAGTTATAGTTCTGTTTTAAGTTTTCAGCGATTTTCGGCAACGAAAGACTATAACTTGAATACTGATTCACATAGATAATCGAAATTTCACACATAAGTAAAATATTTAATTATCAGCCTTCTGTCGAAATGTGATTAATTTCCGTTGACCGTAAGTAGTACTTTACGCTATTTCCGATTTCTCAAAAAAATAACTCATCTATATATATAATTCTCTTCTGGGAGACGTTAGAAAACAAGCTGCAAGCGCCTCCTAACAGTCCCATCTCTTCCTCTCTATCACTATCACTACCACCCCCACCCCACCCCCACATGGTCTGGTGAGTTGTGGTCACGCTAAATGTTTACAAATCGTAGAGGCGGGTTTAGTGACGGCTATTAGGGGCAGATAATTTAGTTTGAAACGATGTTAAACTTACAGGAGGTAACTAAGAGGAGGCTGCTTTCACGGGGGGGGGGGGGGTGTAGGGTCGGGGTTAGGGGAAAGGGGGTGGGGGGTTAGTGTTTTAAAGCAAATATTTTCAGTGGCAGCATTGGTACTGTCGAATTCACAAATTATGAATTACTGAAAAGTAGAAAATAAAACAACTAAATAGCGGCGTATGATACGGCGCGGGTCGGCTCGTGAATTTATAAAATACTAGTTTTCCGCGCTATTATACACACATTGCTTGACGTTAACTTGTTGAGATATTTTTTTTCCACTTTTAGTCGAGTCCTGCCAGGCGGTGAAACCGCGCAAGCAGCATCGAGGACATAGGACTTCTATTTTTTTTTACAGAAGTTTTGAAATGAATCTATTATCTTAAACTAACTCTCCATGGTCTCTTCAGTATATTTCCCCTTTTCTGCCATTGCCTTAGCTCTGTTCATTGCTTTCCTTTCCAGTATCTTCTTTCTGTTTTTGTCAAGCTTCAACTTAACAATAACAGTCTTGGATGGATGAATGCCAACATGAACAGTGGCTCCATTAGCCTTTTCTATCTGAAAACGCTCAATGTACACAACAAACTTCTTTCTATAATCTTGAACAACTTTTCCCAACTGTTGCCCTATGTAATGGCCACGTACAACCTGAACTTCATCACCTTTTCTAATTGGCATGCTTCTGACATTATATTTAGTACGCAGCTCTTTAGAGAGTGGGGCACTCATGATTTTCCTTCTAATGTGGGAAGGAGCATTGAAGTGGCAAGCCCTGTTTTTTCTTCTGGAACCGGACACAGCTTTGTTGAACTTCATTCTCAGACCTTATTTTGACTTCTACTTTTTTTTTTACTTCTACGAGATTCTATTTTCTCTTTAAAGTCGAAGTCTGTAAAAACTGATTAAAAATCATTATATAAATCCCGAGTTGCCATCCCCGTAGTGTTATATGAGAATATTCGAGAAAGTTTAAGGGAGATCACTCCCGCTTTATTTATTTTTTGTGATTTGTGAATGTAATTTAAAAATAATATGATTCCTTAAAATAAACAATATATGCGGGAAATATTTTCCGCGTGTTAGTTTTTTTTTTTTGAAAATGAAGTTGACACAACGTAAACTACGAACAAATATATGTGCGTTACAAACTATCCGTTAGCTTGGGATCTCTAAACGTGAGTTATCGGCCCTTATTTAGTTTGTGGCCGACGATAGGACACCAAATATGCCAGCCGTGATACCAGTTTACCCTAGACTTCGCATTGATTAAGCGATCACTAGAATTCTATTTTATTATTTTATTTTATCATCTTTCATTACTAATGTTTTAAATTAAACTTTAAGACTAAGGGGATATCTAAATAGATTTCAAATAAAAAGCTCTTGCATTGTAATCCAAATTCTACAACTGCGCCAAATTTCACTTCAATTTCAAAATGAGAAGAACGTTAAATTAACATTTGCAAGATATGTGGAGCGACAGATTCTTAGTCAAAGTATTATAAACCTTTAAAAACAGGCCTAAAATCTCAATCTAGAACTGTAAGTTGGTATAGCAATACGAATATAGGCCTACCGGCGAGATGAAACATAGCTAAATCTGCCTCAATATAATTTTCGCCACTAATCGATTAACAAAAAAAACAACAAAAAAAAAACAATAATTGAAAAGCTAAATCGAAACTACTACAAATGTCCAACAGCTTAACATCACAGTCGGGTAGTAAGTTTGAATATCACCGAGCATAGAAATACATATACAACGACACAATCGAATTGATTTTCTTGATGATTTTTAATCAATACAGAGAAGAAGTTAATACCGCTAGGTTACAACGTTGAATAGATAACGCTTGTTTCAGTTTAATTTTATATTTCAACAATTTTTTTCCGACCGTGTGTTATCCTACTAGACTCACCCTGTGCGTATGATATGCAGATGAGCAGTATGGCTGCGATGTTTACTTTTGCAAACTTCATCTTCATACAACTTATAAGGTGATATAGAAATATACCTGTGATTGAAACAAAATTAGTAATAATAACGAAATTTAATTAATATATTATTTTTTTTAAATAAACATTTTGCAGAAAAAATAAAACTAATCTAATCTCTTATTGAATGATTTTGGTTGCACGCCTTCTTCCATCCCCTGTACTTAGTTGCACACCAAGAAAACGTAGTCTTATATCAAACTTAATTATTAGACACATAGTTCGATAAGTATTTTCAAAAAGTAGTATTCAAAAGAGGCTCAAGAGCGTAAACAAAAATTAACACAATGTTTCTGATATGATTAGTTTTCTTTTTTCTTTTTTTTTATTTGGCAAAGTAGAATCCGTGATAATTTGAAAAATAGTCTGTAGTTAAACTAATATTTTAATATAATTTCTTTTCTGCAGTTTATATTGCTTAAATAACTGTTAACTAATTGTTTTCGACTATTAATAATGAGAAAAAAAACCGAGGAGGACGAAAGCTGTCAATGTTTCGTATTTTCTAGATCATTTATCGATATTCCAACAATATGATAGCATATAAGTGTTTTAACGAGAACTGCTGTCTTTACGGTTTTTCCTTAAACTTCATTATTAGTACATACTAACGAGCCTGTCCTCTCTAGTTGCCGATTGGTTTAAAAAAAATTCACATGATAGCCGCGGCGTGGTCGGACGCGCCTGATTCAGTTCAGTGAACGACTATGATCCTACTTCTTATCCATATTATAGCACAATCTTTAAAACAAACGTATGCGTCATAGCGCTACCGGAATAGCCCTGGGCGCCAAATTGCAACTTGTCGGGCGCCGGCGAACTCGCCTGATTAAATTTAGTGAATGACTAAACGCTCCATCTTATTCATAGTCTCAAAATAAACGTATGTTCCGTAGACCTCACCGGATATCCCGGGGTGCCAAATCACACCCTGCCGTGGCGTCGATCTTGCGTCATTGAATTTTTTTCGCAGAAACTTCCAAGGGAGTATAATCAATAACTTTCCAAAGTTTCATCGCGATAAGAGGAAAGGTGTACCAATGCATAAAAGATAAAAATAAAATCTGATGAATTATATTGGGAGGGTTTCATTATCTCTTTACCAATCCTATATTTTTAGACGGGTGATCTTGTTTTCTAAAACTGAGTTATTTAAATTTAAACAATGCCTGTGCTTGAATCATATTTATCGGGGCACAGGGTTCCTACACTACCGCCCAAAAAAGCCCAAAAAAAGAGCCCGGGGCGCCAAATCGCACCCTTCTGGAGCCATGGTGGACTCGCCTGATTATGTTTAGTGAACGACTCTAAAACACAATCTTATGCATAGTCTTTTGCAATGTTTAAAACGGACATATCGCGTAAAGGATATCCCGGGGTGCCAAGTCGCTACCTGCTTGGGAGGCGGCGAAAGCACCTAAATCAACTTAGTGAATGACTATAACGCCCCATGTTATCCATAGTCTATCTAACTGTTTTAAACGAACGTAGGTGCTATATCGCTAAAGTGAAAGACCATGGCGCCAAATAGCACCTTGCCGGGAACTGCCCGTGCAAAATTAAATTATCGCTTTAATTATGGTTGCTAAACCGAAAGTCTAGAGTTCGAACCCTCGGGCAGATGAGGCTCGTTAGCTGGGGACAGCCACTCCTCTAGGAGAGACAACTCCAAAATCAAACAACTGCTGCCTTGTAGTTTGTTCTTGGTTGGACAAAGGCTATGGAAGCAAATCCAAATAGAAAAGCAGGCTGAAATCGGAGTCAATGGCCTCAACGGCGCATAACCAGTTGACACGTAATCCTTAATTGTGATGGAAGCATGGTCGAGTCGGCAAAGCTCATGGTTGATAAATTCGAAAAAGTCTCGAGTTCAAACCCTCTGGCAGATTAGGCTCGATCCCTCCCAACACTAAAAATTAAGAAAGAAGAAGAAGAAAAAGAAATTATCTCCCCCCCCCCACCCCACCCCAGAAGCCTTCTTAGGAGTATTCTCATCAAATCCTCATAGTTTTATAGCACTCGGATAATTGTTGTCAAACCGCGTCCTACTTTCATTTTTAATATATACCGTATATAGAGGATAATTGCACTGTCCCGGGGCGCCGCGCTTGCGAAAATAAAAGAGCTTTTTTTTGCCGAAAACTCCCCTGGAGTATTCATATCAACTTCTCAATCGACTATTATTTTTGTATATTGTATGTAGTAAAAAAACAAATCGCACCCTGCGAAGCGCCAATCCTGCGAATTAGAATTTTTTCTCGTAGAAACCTCACCAGTAGTATTCTCAAGGACTTCACAATGTTTCGAGGCGATCGGATGAAAGGTGTAGTTATGCATTAAAGACAGAGACACAGAGACACACATACATTGCTTTTTATTTAGATAGATAGATGGATTATTACTCTGTTTTAAAATATTTTTACAATACATTAGCACATTTGTAAAAAGTTTTTTTTTTTTTTTTTGCAGCGTTAGTCTTACAAAAAATGCTATGGTTGATAAAAGTTATAATTGTTTGAATTCAAATTACCTTTTGGTCCGTAGATACGTTTATTAATCTTTATCAATAATTCAGAACAATAACTTATTCCATTCCTCAACAACTGTTTTCTTATTATTTAAATGCACGCGTTATTAATTACAAGAGATTAAAATATTAAGTAAAATGGGATTGCGCTAAAATCTATAAAGGAATTCTTGAAGCCAACGTAAGTCGCTAATGGCATATAAGAGGTGTGTGGGGCGCGGAGGTTGAACATTTTTGGTGGCTGGGGGGGGGGGTTATTTTATTCTGCTGGAACTTATTACAAATTGTTTAACTAATTAAAATAAATAGTCCGTCAGTGATCATGAAACAATGAAGATGTAGTTACATCTTATAAATTTACTGAGTATAGCAACTGCGCTGCGCATTACGTGTGTGTTTGAATCGATAGACTAAAACGATATAAACTAGCCGAGAATTCGATTAATGATTTATGAAATGTTTGGCGAGTTGTATTAGTTGCTAACGTATAGTTTTTGCCAATGCTGTAGTTACTTGCTTGATTCACGATTACAAATCGCTTGTTATTGTACTAAAACTTGAGTTTTTATCCAACACGAAATATATCCATGTAAAGCAGTTACAATCAATAACTCTTAAGATATCTATTGGTCTGCTACGATATTTAATTTTTATTTTGTTCAAACCTACCTCATTATTTAACGAAGTATTAATTTGTTTAAATAAAATACATATACTGATTGTCATTAAACATTGCAAATACTTTTTTATCTTAATAATTATGCTAAGACTGATTGTCATAATTTAAAATACTTTTTTAAACCGATACAGTATTGTAAAAAGTATTATAAATGTTGTTAATAATTTAATATATTAACATAAGACACTCTAGACAAGTAAATGAAACGATTAGTATAACATCAAACGTCGGCAATATGATCATTCAAATTCGACCCAACTTACAATTTTGAAAAAAAATCAACTAATGACAGCGCTTCACGATTTAAAAAAAAATGTATTCACAAAATAATTAGTTTCTTCAAAAAATATCTTAAGATTTTTATTTCTGTTGCAACCTTTAGTTACTTTACTTAATTTTCTTTACCTCATTCACTTATTTAAAAGTAAAATCATGTTTATAACTCTGATAAGAACAGAATATCTAGAACCTAAGTCTAAAGCTTTACCAAAGTAAAATAAACATTAGCAAGACGTCACTTTAAAACCTACCAGAGTTAATGTTCTTACAAACTGTCAGTAACAAAACAAGTGGTGTATGTTCACTGATGTAAACAGTAGATATTGTTTTTTTAGCCAATCAAAATACGTGATGGAAATTGTATTGCTCGTAATAAAAATCCATGGGCGAAGCTTCATACCAACACAATAGAGATACCATAACGTATTTGTTTAGCCTATCTATTGAATAAGAGCACGATAGTTAGTGTGTCTGTAAGAGACAATCATCTACCCATAATTAATTCATTGTATATGAAAAAAAGCAGCCAACCGTGACCAAACAGTTCATCTTCGGCGGCTAGACAATACAGCGGTCCCCCTAATCGTGTAGGCTCCACTTCTGCTTTTACTTTCTCGTATATACGATGTATAGAGAAAATCTTGTAATCGTGCAAAAAAAAAATCGAGATGTTTGCAAATCTCGATGTTTTATAGCTCCCTGAGTCGGAAAAACATAGTTTTGCAATCTTGTACGTATGTCTGTGTGTGTTTGTTTGTGTGTGCATGTAAACACAATAACTTGAGTACCGTTACAGCTAAGTTGATGAAATTGTATATATATTATATCAAAATCGTAGATCTGTATTAACTTTTGAGAGATTTCAGATAACCGGAAGTGGAACTTTTTCTGCTTTGAATTTTTCAAAAGCCTATAACTTTGGTACTATTTTAGATAGATACATGAAATTTCACTTATAAGTAAAAGATTTAATTTTCTGTCTTCTGTTAAATTTTGAGTAATTTTTATTAAGAGGAAGTAGTAATTTGCGTTATTATTTTCCGATTTCTCAAAAAACGCATGTGAATTTATAAAGTAGGCTACAAATAATATTCCGCACTATTATACACATTTTTCTTGGCGTTCGCTTAGTGCACAATTCTTTTTTCTACGAGATTCTATTATATTTTAAAAAGTTTAAGTAATTAAAAATCTTGTCTATATTCCGCGTTGCCATCCCCCGTGGTGTTATATAAGATTTTTCGGGAAAGTTTAGGGTAGATCACTCCCCGTTTATTGAAGTTAGTAAACTTTAAGAAAAATATTAGCCAAATGTCTAATTCGATTTAAAAGTATATTTTTTTTTGCATTATCGTTTTGATTAATGTATATGGAAAGACAGAAAAAAATCGACGTTATAAATGTAAGTTTAAGTTAATTTGCCACAAAAAAGAAACAAAAGAAAACTAGACATTGTTAAATAAAACAAATATAACAAACATTTATCGTAACAAATTATTAACTACACTGAAAATAGGAAAATAAAACCAAATTGCTTTCTCAATGTTTTGGTCCCTAAATATGTAAGAAACCACTCGGGCGACAAAAACTATTATTTATAAAATAAAGTTTGTTTTATTTTCTTATTTTCAGTGCATTTAAAAGCTTGCTATTATAAGGATTTTAAAAAAAATATTTTCCACTTTATAGTAATTCATTCTAATCTAAGACTAAATATACTAGCGTCGAAATCCAGAACAATAGTTTTAAAAACAGTTACTTCCCCCTAGTTTATGGAGAACACTCAGACAACAAACCGTGACCAAGTAGGCATGAACCTAAGCTCAGCTGAATGATCGGGCTTTAGATAGTTATCTCCCCTTTTATTATTTAAATACATTCTTTTTTTACTAATTTTTAATGACTAATCTGATGTCAAAATAGATTTTAAAAAATTATTATTCTTTTATTGTGTTCAAAGGAAAATTTTAACGAAATCGCTGCATTAGAAAAGGGTCAACATTTAGTTGCATTATTTGACAAATACCCTCAAACAAACAGACATTGTGAAGAAAGTAAAAAAAATCTGTAAAAATCTGATAATTATTTTTTTTTAAAGTATGAGCAAGAATGATTACATTATATGTATCCCATCTTGAATTAAAATATACACGCCCATGATGTGAAAAAGTAATGATTCAACACACAACAGATGCAAGCCTATCCCTTCATTCTACTTAATATAGATTGACCTTTGACATTAAACGTCGCTATTGACCGGCTGAATGAAGACTACACATCTAGCCTTTAAAAAGCGCTTCTCTTTACAGTAGCACACACTGGACATTGGCGTCACTATTTAGATTTTCACCAGATGTGGTAACTTCCATGCATACACACACACAAACACACACACACACACACACATATATATATATATATATATATATATATATATATATATATATATATATATATATATATATATATATATATATATATATATATAAATATACTTCAACGTTGGTAAAATTTAAAATGTCTAGGGAAAAATGTTTTTCTTTAAAAGAGGTGAAAAGGTTTATTTTTCAATGTTAGAAAATCCCTTTCCCAGTTAGATTAGATATTTTGCATCTTAAATGTATGATTATCATTATTATACAAAAGGAGAAACGTACACAGAGAGCTGAAATTCATGGCAACGCCTTTGTCTCTCTCCTCCTACGATTTGTATCCATGTGTAGGAATTCCCAATGATATCTTTAAAGCACAAGGTATCCAATGATTTGAAAAATTCTTTGTATGAAAGCGTATGTCATATAATAATCTTAATTTAATAGGTTTGGTATTTCCAAACAAGACGATAAAAATCTCTTTGTAAACAGTATTTTAAAAATAAAATCGTATAGCAATAAATTTGTGAATCAAACACCGTAACGTATAGTCTCTTTGATGTCAAATCTTTCAAAGACGATGTTGTTGTTGTGTATGTTAAGATCGTGTGGGCGTTATCGATGGTCATTGTAGGGAGGGGGTGGAGGATAAAGCGAGAATACGTGCGGGATACTTGAGAAACTCGATGGTTCCTTTATTATAAAAGTTTTAAATACACGAAAGTTGCAATATATATTTTAATTGTATTTGTATATTGGCCCACATACTGGAAATAATCTTCTTAATAATGATACACATCTATCTATCTTTTACAGGCAAAATGGCTCGAACTCTACTTAAAATCCATGCAGATGGAAAAAAAATGTAACAGAATCGAGCCACTCTTACCGCCAGTAGATCCGTTGATTACCGTCAGAAACGTGTGTAAACAAGTAAAGGTAACAGATGTGATCGCCTACAATACATTTGTTAAAACCTTGAATTTCTTTTGTTCTATATATATATATATATATGTATATATATATATATATATATATATATATATATATATATATTTATATTTATATATAGACAAAAAGCTTTCCTTAAGCCTTAAGGGAATGCCTGACTTTTGACCGAAAGAAGCTTCCCTGACTAAAATTTGACCGGGAGCCGTGTCCATGATTAATATTAACCCCGAATGCGATAATGCGTGAATGAACGTTTGCCGAATAAAATCCACCTAGCTACTGACAACAGCCGAACTAGTTGAGAACAGAAAGCTTTAATGAGTAGGAGGGCGAAGCTATATAGTTAGCTGGGGACGACAGCCAAACTAGCTGGGAATACAAACCTTTATAATGGGTAGGTAGAAGCTGGGAGCAACAATCGAAATCGCTGGAAATATAAACCTCTATAGAAAGGGAGTCGGAAGCAATAAAGCTAGCTGGGGACGACAGACAGACTTGCTGGGAAAATTAACATTTATAGTTAGGGACGTTAAAGCAAAATAGCTAGCTAGGGACTACAACTACCTGAAAACAGAATTCTTTATGGATGGGGAGAAAGAATCAATACAGCTAGTTGGGGACGATAGTCAAACTAGATGGGAACAGAAATTTTTATGGATGGGGAGGCAGAATCAATACAACTAGTTGGGGACGACAGTTAAACTAGATGGGAACAGAAACACTGATGAAGCTAGCTGTGGATAACAACCCTTTTAGCTCCGTGTAACCACTCATCGGCGTGGGGACAACATTGTAATCCATTCGTGTATTTTCATTCGTTTAACTCTCTTTCTATAGGGCCTATCTAAACACGTTTACAACAACACATAGCTGTGTAACCGCTGTCTCTGCGTCATAAGGTTTACGGAACAAAATCAATGAGAATTTGTGTCATAACGTAGGTATATTTATCGACTTTGTCATGTGGTTTGCTGAAAACATCTGTACTTTTCAACGAGCAGTAGAGACAAATTTGTCGGGTGTCAGAGCTAGTGGATGCTAACTACAAAAGTCTCGAGTTCGGATACCGGGGCACATGAGGCGCGTTAGCTGGGGACAGCAACTCCTTGGGAAGAGAATTAAAAAATCCAATAACTGCTGCCTTGTATATTATTAAAGCATATTCAAATGCTTGAAAAGTAAATCAGAGGCGTAGCGAGGGGGGGGGGGGGGGGGGGCGAGGGGTGCGGACCGTACCGGGTGACACCATTTAGGGGGGGGGGGGTGGTTGACACCAAGGCAAAAAAATAGTAAAATATACAAAGAGAAAAAAAATTGAGAGGGGAAGAGGTGCAATCGAATATTGAAAGTTTGTCCCTGGGAAGAGTCGCTACGCCTTTGAGGGGGTGACACCATTAAGTGCCGCACCGGGTGACACCCGACCTCGCTACGCCACTGAGTCAACGTGCCATGTTGTGCTTATGTTAACAATTAATACTTAATTGTGTTGGAGGAAATCACATCCAATATTACAATAGAAAAGGACGAAGAAAAATTGTATACGAGAAATATACAACGTGCATGTAACAACTCTTAATATAATGAAATGATAATATATTTAAAATACAGTCGTACCTCTAGATATGATCTTAATTATCCATGTTTTTTTCTCCATAAACCTGCTAATCTAGTTACTTTTACCTTAAATTTTGCTGTATGTCAAAGCAAATATTAGCTTACTCAAATGCTCGTATCTCAAAAAAACTCGTATGTTGGGGCACTCGTATGTCAAGGTACTACTGTATTTACAATGTGCATCTAGCTCACATGAATAAAATTAAACGATATTATTCATATAATATTAATTCAATAAGTGGTACAGTGGTGCTTGTCAATTTATATGCCCACCCCCCCCCCCCCCGAACATTTTTTACCGCCCCCCCCCCCCCCGAACGAAATGAAATTTATATAATTTATTTAGAAAATATATACTTTTAACAGTGTCCGCCCCCCCCCCCCCCCGAAGAAAGTCTACCGCCCCCCCCCCCGAAAATTTCAAGTGCCCCCCCCCCCCGGAGAAAAAAGTCTGGAAGAAACACTGACCCACTGAGGTTCAGTGTGAACAGTAGCTGATCTTTCATTAGGGTATACTTGATGTTGCTTGCAAAATACTATAAATGGGACGGCTCATGCCGAATGTTCCTAGCTGATTAAATATCCGTGTTGTTTTCATTACTAATCAATCCTGGTAACCCTGGATTACTTCTTGTTTACACAAAACCTGTCTTATACAAATATTTTAAGATATTTATTTCAGTACTAGGAATCGTAACCCAGCCTGACCACCAAGCATATATTTGTTCGGTTATGTCCCTTTCGTATTGATAACATTAACAGTATGGCGTATTGCACATACATTTGTTTTTTGATACATTGGTCAACAGCCAGGTATTTTAGTTTTAGCCTTGACCGGGTCGATATTACACACTAACCCTAGATCACCCCCCCCCCCTTGTCTACATTGTGTACCAATATTAACATGTGTGCTTTCATCTTCAATCTCGGCCTACGCAAATGTAGCCTACATCTGAATCGTTAGTTGGTGTGGTCGTTTTAATGTGTATTGAACGGTCGTTTTATCTGCACTTTGCTGATTCATAAAGGGACAATTAGAAAGGGAAACAAAGACAATAATACTGTTGTATTACAAATGGACTCCTGAGACAATGGTTTGTTTGATTTCATATTATTTAAACATATCGCGAAAAATGTTAAAATACTTTCCGTTTATTATAAAAGTGTAGAAAACTCTTAGATGCATGTGTTCCCAGCCTTAAATGGCCAAAATTAAAATGAATACAATTAAAATAATTTTTCTAAAATCCGTTCTACAGCAAATCATATTATTTATAGAATTTGCAATTCATTTCCATTGTTTTTCCTTATAAAGTACAACATCCACTTTCCCTGGGGGATATCAATCTAATGCCTGTCTGTTATGTTGTTTATTGGTTAGCGCAAAATGGTTCCAACAGACCTGTTTTGATTCGGGTTTGAGAGAGTAGGTAGGTGCAAATGAATGTCGGTGCTAGATATATAATGAATGCATGGAATGATGACGCTTATGAAAGATAGTGACGTTTTGTGGTAGAAACTGTGTTGCTGTGGAAGGTAGTTTGAGTTTCATCAACGGTAATAATAAGAAATGGAGTTGTCTAGGAATGATGTAAGAAAAAGACTGGGTCTTGTCCTAGCTATGCAGGTCGTCTATTGGGTTGGTGTCTTTTTAGAGTATAAATAAAACATGAGTTGAATGGACTACGGCTTCTGTCAAGTTATTCAGTCCTGTTCGTGAAGTGTTTTGAGAAGGTATATTGGTAGTGGGATTATCTCAGTATTTCACAGTCCTAACAACATCACAATGTAACCTTTTAACTTCATCTTTACCAACAGACTTTTGCCCAGTTTTTTCACACTGTTTAAAAGTAAAGTAAAGTTCCCTTTTCAAACCTGACGTTCTATAGGGCAAGTGAAGTAGAGTTCACTTGTTTCTGTGACCTCGGCATATAAAGAGATAGTGTGGTCAGCACTATGCCCAGCCGCCTTTACTTTCCC